CATGGTGGGCCAGGAACCAGTGACTGGATATAACCTGCAAAGACCCACCCCTAGGGACACTTCTGCCAATCCCACCCCAAGAATCTACAACCTTTCAGTATGACACGGCTACCTGGGGAACAAGTGTTCAAAAATTAGCTTGTGGGGAGACTTCTGATTCAGATCATAATACACGTGGAGATAGAGACAGGGCAACAATTTCATATATGTCAATGATTATTTACTAAAACTCACCTTTTCCTTCTTGTGTGTATAGGTCTGTGAGTTTTAACAGTGTATGGATTTGAATCATTGGCTCCAGGGCTATTCCATCATTCCCAAATCTCTCTGTGAAGTCCCTTTTGCAGTTATTGCCTCCTCATCCTAACCCCAGGAAGTCATTAGCTCTCCAGCATTGCACAGAACTATGCCTGGGACTGCCCCCTTCAGCAGAATGACCTTGAGGTGCATTACACTTTGTATTCCTCAACAGCTTCATTTTATCTTAGATTGGGCTTTGTAGCCCAGAGAAGGCTTGAGCTCACAATGCTGCCTCAGTCTCCTGAGAACTGAGATAATAGACACCTGCCACCATACCCAGAAAATTTCTCTGTTTATTTTTACTTTTTATTTACTTACTACATGTGTTCATGTATTTGTAGGCATGTCTATGGAGGATGGAGGCCAAGTGTCTTATTCAGTTGCTCTCCACACTTTAAACACAGATTCTCTCATGGACCCTGCAGTGTGCTGATGTGGCCAGACTGGCTGGCCAGCAAGCCCCAGGAATCTTTGCATCTCTGCCTCCCCAGCACTGGGGTTACAGGAATGTGCTACCACACCTAGTTTTTATGTGGGGACTGATGCTTGCTCTGCAAACACTTTACCAATGGAACTGTCTCCACTGCCCTATTGTTTCTTTTTGAGTAACATGTGTGTGTGTGTGTGTGTGTGTGTGTGTGTGTGTGTGTGTGTGTGCTATAGCTTGTTTGTGGTTTTTCCTATAGAAGGGTATCTGGGTTGCTTCTAGTCTGGGGGTAATTATGAAGGGAGCTGCATGAATGCTCCAATGCAAGGCTTTCTAGGATAAATGCCCAGGAATGGGGTCACTGAAATGTACACGGTGGACTTGAAAGTCTAGATACTGCCATGCTGTCTTTCGGAATCACCATGTGGCTTTGCAATTCCAGGGAGTGGGACGTTCAGCTTCATTCTGAACCGATAACTTGTAGACTTTCTGTAGTTGTGTTTGTTGTCACTCATGCTTGCTTTCTTGCTGTTTGACTGTCAATGCAGTGACCCTTCTGGCATCACTGATTTTTCCCCCAAGCAATTTTCTGTTTTCTCTCCCACCATCACCCTTCTTCCACCTCCCTTGGCTTTGCTTAGTTCTCTCCTGTTTCTGTTTCCTGGTATGAAATTTTATATTCTTGATTTGAGAACTTTGCCCTTTGCCATACAAACATTTAATGACTTAAATTTCCTTCTCATTCTCTGCTGTACCTCACAGTTTTAATGTATTAGTGTATGCATGTGTGTGAGGGTACATGCCACAGCTCTCATGCAGAGATCAGAGGACAGTTTTTGGGAGTGGCCTTTGCCCTTCCATCTTGTTGAGGCAGGATTTCTCTTGCTGTTTCTGCCACTCCAGCCTCCTGTTCCTAGAGTTTCCAGACCAGTCTCCTGCCTCAGCCTGCATTTCATTAGGAGTGCTGGAATTACAGATGTGAGCCATCTCATGCAGTTTCTTGTGGATTCTGGGGAATCAAATGTAGATATCTCACAGTTTTTCAAAGGTGTGTGTATGCGCATGTGTGTATATTAAAATATTTTCTAATTCCCTTGAAATTTCTTTGATATTAATTTTTGAATATTTGAAAATTTTCTCATTGTCTCTCAGCTGTTGATTTCTAGGTCAATTCCACTATGCTCTGAGGAGATGCTCTGCAGTTTCAGTTCTCTTGAACTTGTTGAGGTTTGGTCCTACAAATATGGCAATTTTCTTTGAATATATATTGAGTTATTGGGGGTGGGGGTATACCATGGAACATCTGTGGAGGTCAGAAGACAACTTCTGAGACTCAACTCTGTTTCCACCTTGTGTGACCGAGGAATTGAACTCAGGTCTTAAGACTTGGCTGCAAGTGCCTTTACCACAGATCTTGCAGACCTGCCTTGGTTAATTTCAGTGAACAATGAAAGACTATGAACACTGTGGTTATTGAGTATTCCGTGAGTGTAGTAGGAACCAGTTATTAATGATGTGTCCTGCATTTCTGTATACACATTCTTTTATCTGTAATTGGCCTTAGCGTCCTTGGTGCCAAAGTCCCTAGGCAAGCGCTCCTCTGTGACACTTACTCCCCACCTATTCTGTGTGATGCTGACAGGGGTATGTCAGTTTCCTACCCTAGCGATGGGTTCTCCCTGCCGTTGTATGCAGCGTTGCTTCGTGTGTTTTGAAGCTCTGTTACATGGTACATAGTATTTAGTTTAGTATTTCTGTCTCAGTGAGCTCACCCTTTATTCATTTTAAAATTTATTTTATTTTTATGTGTATGGGTGTTATGCTTGTATATATGTCTGTGCACAACACACATGCTTTTTGCTTGTGGAGGCCAAGAGAAGGCATCCGATCTCCTGATCTGGGGTTACAGACAGTTGTTACCATCAATGTGGGTCTGGGAATTTAAATTGAGTCCTCTGAAAGAGTAACTCGTGCTCTTCACCTCGGAGCCATCTTTCCATCCAAAGAGTTATTCTTAAGTGTGTGTGTGTGTCTGTCTGTCTGTGCATATGTGTCTGTATATCTGTGTGAGTGTATGCCATGTCTGTACAGGTGCTCATGGAGGTCAGCAAGGGCTACAGATTTTGTGGTGGTTGTGAGCTGCCTAAAATGGACTGAGGTCCGACTTTCTGGAAGAACAGAAAAGCTTTTAACCACTGAGCCATCTCTCCAACCCAGAGCCCTCACATTAGTTTGTAATGACTCAGCTTAACCATGTAAATTTTCTTTGCTTTGAGATCTACTTTGTGTGGTATTTAAAACATCTACTTCATCTCAATTAATGTTTGTGTGACATATCTTTCCCACCCTTTTGCACATAATGTATTTATGATATTGAATTTTAAGTTAATTTCTTAGATGTAATATTAAACAGTCCATCTTCTAATTATTTACAATTACACTATTTGCACTGATAGGTTCATGTTCGATCTAACATGTCTAACATTTTATAGTCTGCCTAAAATCTATCTTTGGATACTTCAGTAGAAGTAAAAACATTACCAATATATATGCCCCTTTCCCAGTCCCATTTATGTCCTATTTGTCTTGTATCTCACCTCTATATCCATGGAGGGTCCGTCAGACATTTTCTTCCTTGCTTTCAGCTACTGAGGGAACCCACAGATGTCCGCCCATGCCCACCCCAATGATGCATGTCCAGCTGACATTGCCCCTGGCTGCCAGCTCCCTTCTTTCAATGCTTTAGTGTTGTGTCATTTACGCTGGCTCCATGGCTCTGCCAAGTGTTTGGTTCACTCTTCCCATACATGGTCGGCCACTTTCTACTGGCTGAGCCTTTGGTTGTAGCTGTGTGATTGAATGGCTGGCTTATATTCCTTTGACATTCTTCCATTTGAGGTACACTGAGCACCTTCAATTCTCAGGCTTATGTCTTTAACCACAATTGGGAGTTCCTCAACCATTATTTCTGCACACAGAGTGAAAGGAATGCAGGCAATTGCTCTGGGTGCTTTCCCTTCCCCAGGACTGTTTCCCACCTGTCTTTAGCTTCCTATGTGTCCCCTTTCAGAGGACTCTCCTTTGGGATTTCATGTCCAAGGACTTCCTGTGGGGTCTTGTCAACAAGGACATTCAGGATTATCAGGGTGGCTTAGGTATTTATTCCATGGGATCTCTTGTTCCAAAGTCATGTCAAGCCAGCTGTGCCTCTGTCAGCTATTGTGACTTGAACATGGATGTGCAGTTGTCTCTGTGACGTGTTGCATATCTGGGTAAATACACAGAGTGCTACAGCCCGGTCATATGGTGGATAGACTTTCAGATATTTGAGGAACCTTGATACTTATTTTAATAGTGACTGCTCTAATTTACATCCACACTGGCAGCAAATAAGTGTCCCTCTTTCCCCTAGCCATCCTGGTTACATTTCTGACTACTTGTTGTCTCAATAATAGCCATTATGACCGGGGTGGGATAGAACCCTCACCAGAGGGAAATGTAAGAAGCTCTTGGGTTTCCTTAGAGCCCACCTGGAATGTCTTTCTGCTCTTGATTCTGGGGTGTATCTTCTTGATGCTATAGGATATCCATGAGTATGGACTCATGCTGAGCCCTGTAGGTCCTTCTGGAGAAACCTCAAATGTGCAGGTGCTCATGGCACCCTGACATAGACCAACTCAAGATTCAGATCTCTGATCCATCCCCTCCCTTTATTATGGCTTTCGAGGTGGTTCTTGTTTTCTTGATTTTATATATATATATATGATATATATATATATGGTATTTTTAAAATATAAGAATCATATGTTGTCTAGTTTTATCTATTTTTATAGAACAATTAATCTGGGGTTTATCTTGCCTCATCGTTGGATAGATAACTTGAAAAAAAGTTTTCAGAGCCAGGATGATCATAGACATCTGTGATCCCAGGAAGCTGAGCTATGAATTCCAGTTCAGCCTGGGCTACATAGCAAGTTTCCATCTTAAATAGCACAAAAGTAGATAAATAAGATTTCTGAATAATTATGTCTTGGTGTTATGCTGTCTGTGTCTTGATTTTGCTCAGTAGTAAAAATAAAAACCCATTTATCCAACTACCTAATTCGGGGACAGTCTCTACCCTCTGCACCCTACACACCCAGTCGGTTGTTTTCAGACCAGATTCTAGACCTGGGTAGGTTGGACCTATGTGGGGCATGTCATATTCTTACTGTCCTCACTCTGCCCTGATTCCCAACCAGTGAGAATTCCCTGGAGTGACAAAGCCAGGATCTGCTAGCAATGACATAACTTTATTATCAAGCCGCTGTCTGAGAAGGAGGAATGAGCAAGTGCTGCTGTGAGCAGCCATGACACTGGGTGGAGCCAGGCAGTGGTCATGCCCAGCAGTGGGGTAGGGTCTCTTTTCTCCTGTCCAACTCTTCTTTCAGGCTTGGGAAGGAGGGACACCCAGAGCAAGGGAGAGGCAGAGCTAGATCACATTTGCACCCAGCAGTTTCTTCTCATCTGTTTTCTAAGGAAGAGGCCAGAGCAAGACATTGGTGACTGAGAGAAGGGGAAGCGGGACCCTGTGCTCCAGGTCAGCTAGTTCTGAAGCCAGGCAGAGCCCATCTCAGCTGCATAGGACCCCTGACAAAAAACTCCATAGGCCTGGTAGAGATGTGGCCAGCTATGGCTTCCTGGGGAGGAAACGGGGACCTTGCAGGATGGGAGAGAAAGACATGGTTCTTCCTGGGACTTGCAAAAATGTCTCATCTGAACATGCCACTGCCCCAAACACAGTGACACCAGGACTTACTGCCTTTGTGAAGAATCTTTTCCAGAAGTAAATACACACAGGGGTGACAGAAGCCAGGAGCAGCAGCATCCAGACACCCAAGAGCATTGCCTGGAGACTTAGGAGCAGGGTCTGGAACCAGGGCAAAAGACAAGGGTCCTGGAGTGACGGCCATGTTTTCTGCCTCTTTCCATTCTCTCTCCTGGCCAATGTCACTTTCTAACCCTCACCTCCAAGCTTCTGGACTGGGGATGGATTATGGGTCCATGAGATACAATTCAGCAGAAACCTTTTCCACTCTCCTCAGTAGCTGAGCTGTGATATAAGTGACAGGGAGGGCATGCACTTACCATGTTGGTAACCCTTGACATCCTTGCAATCCTGCGCCACTCATGGCTTGTGGCTGATACAATTTCTTTGCTAATGTGACATCTACAGCAGTGGGAACAGTTCCTGGTTTTCTCAGTCCTGCATCTTCAGGACCAATCACCAAGATGAGAGAGAGGGGTGCCTTTCCTGCCCATCTTAGTCTACCTGCTATCATCTGTAGTTGCTCTTCTCCATGGCCACTTACCTTTAGCATGCTGGTGTAGAATATGCACAAGCCTATCCTATCAGCTTCTTCGGGGCCTGGGGTGTTGGGGGGCTTGGTGGGCCAGTGATTTGAAGAGTAGCTTACACAGACGTCATTTCTGAGATAGTATTGGTAAATATTGAACTCACGAACTCCAATAACAATGGCAGCCACAGCCGTGCAGAAGTTCACTAGCACAAGAAGTGTCCTCAACAGGGCCTAGGTAGAGGGAAAGATAGAGGGAGACCTTGAAGACTCAGATTTACCCAGCCTGAGTGATGGGGCAGGAGACCTGGCATAGCCTCGAAGCAGAGTGTGGGTCTTGTTTGGTCCTAAACTTACCCAGCAGGTACCACCCCGTTTCTTGTGAACGAAGGCAACAGATCCAGCCAGCATAGCCTGGGGAGATATTGAACCAGAAGAGTCAGCATAGGAAATACAAACACCCATTAATCTTCTGCCTCATTTAATCTGTAGTGTCAGCCACATGGCCTAGATACCATTCTATCTGCATTCCAGGTGTTCTGCTACGCTTGTTTGTCTGTGGTGGATCTCACCAGTGAGGATGTAGGACACTGTTTTAGTGACACCTAAATGCACATGGTTAAGCTAGGTGTGTATCTTCTCCTCTTTAGCTGCAATCTTCTTTTAAAATAATACTAGATTCTTCATGAAAGTTCCAAGGACTAGGGATCTTGTGGGTCAAAGTCCCAAGTTATTGGAAAAGCTGTCAATGCAGGATGTGGCTTTAGGCAGCCTCATGTCCAGACCCCTGACTTACGAGCTACTGGGTCCATCTGATGAGGCCAGAAGAGCAGGAAGTCTGGTGTAGCCCCGTGGACACCTGGGTCCTGACCCTTTTTGACTATTCTATAACAAATCTGCATACTTCTGCCACTGGATGGGTTAGCACAGTTACTTTAATCTCTGCTCTCATTGAATACATGTGTTTTTGCTGTTCTGAGAGTGTGGGTCTGTTAGAAAGTTCTCAGTACCCATCATGCTCAACCCACCTAGCTGTCATTAGTGATAACAGCATGTTGGAATACATCCCTGGATACCCATAGTAGGCACAAAAGGAAGTAGGAGATGCTCCCTGCCTGACATGCTCCACTTCCTGTCTTGAGGCAGATATCAGAGGTGGGTGAGCCTTTAAAGCCTTAACTGATGACTGCCATTGATGGTGAGGTGGGGCTGCCATCGTGGTGGGAGAAGCATGGGGCAAGAGCCAGCAGAGCAGACCTGTGACCGCGACCGCGACTGCGCAGGCAACCACTTCCTCACTGCTGCCATCCACACAAGCACCAAACTGGCCTGCATCATTCAGTCTCTCTGGCTACATGCTCTCTGATGCCACCTCAGCGGTGGTGTGAACGAAGCAAAGAGAACATTGTCCCCCTCCCTCTGACAGCTGGGGACCTTCATGCTGCCACACTCACCACGATCCCAGTCCAGAAGGGGGCACCTGAGGTATTCATGGCTAAATACTGGCAGATGTAGAGGGTTCCACCCAGAACCACACTCAGAACCCCCAGCACAATCTGCACCACCTGGAAGAGAGAGGTCTTGAGAACACAGCTCCTGATCAATGGGTCCACCCACCAGCCTGCAGCTGCCTGCACAGCTTGGACTGGTTTCTAATAAGAAGATAAAACCAGTTCAATGCCTTAGGCATAGAGGGTGGCCAGAGGAAAGTGTGGCAAGCAAGAAAAAGGACCCTTCCTTAGCCATGCTTGGTGTCCCTCCTCAGCCATGAAGCATGTAGCTACTCTCACCCAGGAGGCCACCAGCAGCCTGTTGCTGCCCAGACTCCTGGCAGATTCTGGGAGCCGTAGCATTGAGCATCCGGCCAGCAGGAGTTTGGCTAGAGCAGACTCTTGATGGATGTGCACATCAATGTGGGTGGATGGTGGGGCCTCAAGGGTTACCTCACCGACATCTGCAGTCTCCATGTCTTTGGACATCATCTGTGAGGGAGAAAATGAATAGCAGGAAAAAATATCTGGCAGATTTTCAGGCAAGTTCAGTGACACAGAATGGTTGTTCGGCTATGGAGCTGAACCCAGGGTCTCTTTTGGAGGGTTGTCTGTCAGGGAAGCATGCTGCTTCTGGGGTTCCATCGTCAGCCCACATCTGCTTTGTGCCCCTGCATTGATCTTCAGGGACTTGGTGCCTACATCAAGCAGTGCCCACTTTAGCCCTGACTGGGTCTCTTCTCTCAGAGTTCTCTGGCCCCAGGTCAGAGCCCAAGCTCCTTTAACAGTTCCCCCCCCCACCTCTTCGCTATCATATCAGTGGGCCCGGGGATCACCTCAGCCCTTGGATGAGCACTTAGCACTGACTGGCCCCATAGGACTGAGTGGCAGAGAGGCCACACCTGTTCCCAGAGGCTCGCCTCAGTGTGCCCACCCCCTGGGTAGCTGTAAGGAAGCCTGAATGGAAGGAGCTTGGTGGACTAGGAAAAGGATTTATGCTGAAGTGATTCCTAGAAGGAGCCACATGGCCCACGAGAGGGTGGGCTGTCTTACCTGCTTTCCTCTGGGACCAGGACAGTGTGCAGCAGGAAAGACCCAGAGAGGAGGACCTGGGTGTAGTTGAGAACCTCAGCCCTGGCAGGAGGAAGAACTTGGGTGGGAGCCAGAAGGGGAGGGAGGATGACCAGACTTTTGCACTTCCTGGCAGGCAGCTGGGACTGAGGGCCCCTTCAGGGGCTTTCCAGCAGTCAGTTCCTCACTGGGCACTGGGCACTGGGGACGGTGGGTGAGGTAGGCACTGAGTTGGGGCTGGCAATGATTTAATCCTGCAGGATCTTTGAGAGCACTCTCTTCCAGTCCCATCAGTGCTAGAGCTTTCTAAGCAATGTGGTCTGTGTTACTTTGGGTGTTTGTGTGTCCTGTGTCACCTGAGTCCCTGTTGCAACAGGCCTGACCATCTACTCCAAATGGACCCCCCCCAAGTGGGGCCCCTTCATGTCAGCTACTTGCTGAGAAATTGAGAGACTCTGGTCAAGCCCCCACCCTCCCTCCCCTTCCTCCTAACCTCCTCCCTCTTATCTACCTTGGGGTCCTCCCAGAACTCCCTGCTCCAGCCCCACCTCTCTCAGAGAACAGCAGGTAAGGCCGGCCCTTCACAGCCCCAGGGTACCCTCTCTTGGAGCACAGAGCCTCTTCTCTAGAGGGTCCCCAAGCCTACTTCTGGAGCTCCACCCTAGCCAAGGATGCTGCTCCTCTCCTAAGCTGCTTTCCTGGACTCCAGGAGGGAGGGACATGCTGGACAGAGGCGGTGGCTCTGGAAACAGGCCCAAGGCTGGAGAGGACAGGGCCTGGCTTTGCCTCCCACACTTACCAGACCCTCACTTGTACTCTGAGAGTGGGGCCTTTGAGACCAAGCAGGAGTGGGATGGCTGCGGAGTGAAGACACAGGGTGTTTCTCCTCGTGTTCCTGGGCCCTGGGAGGAGGGTTATCAGGGAGCCACTCTCTGGAGTGCTGAGCATCAGGGTTTCTGAGTGGCCAAGGCAGTGGTAGGACTGGGGGTCTGGAAGGGCCAGCACACAGATGGGATTGGGATTGTATTCCTAACTTCTGGGACCTCAAGGGAAGGTGAGAACCTGGGGTCTCTATTTGCGTTTCTGAGAAGTCGAAAGTCTCTTCCTCCCTCCTGAAGAGTTGTCACTCAGAGGGTCCAGGTAAGCAGAAGGGGAGGTGCACTAAGGCCCCGGTGACCACAAATGGATTCGAGCAGAGGAGAGACTGGAGTGGCTATCAATGTCCAGCTGAAACCGATGCTCAACCAGATTGCCCCGATGAGTTGTCTGGGCAGAATTTCTTTTGGATCTAAGCAACTGATCAGAGGGGCTAAGATGGCCATGACAGTTCTGAACCAGGAACAGGAGAGAGGCGGAAAGCAGGCAGGATGAGTTAGACTCTATGCTGGTTAGATTGGTAGCAGTGGTGAGGAGCCCATCGGACTTCATAGTAGGCAGAATAAGAAGACCTTGTGGGTCCAGAGCCTATGGAAACTCAGGGCATGATTTTAGCCAGTGGAGAAAGGTGATATAGACCACAGTAGAAGTTGTTCTTCAGAAGTTAACACATGGACTCACATGGGTCCTTGCCTCCATATCTGGGGATTATGACATAGATCCAAAGATCAACATTTTTTCTTAAATCATGTTTGTACCTGTTCATGTGGGTGTGTCAGTGCATGTTGCTAATGGTAAAATTTCCAAATATACAAAGTTTCAAATATACAAAACTTTTATGAAAAAAAGTTCAGGAAGTATCAGAATGAAGAACTTACAAAATAAGTAATAAAAAATGCCCCTAAGAAACAAAAAGACAGTCAACCACATTATGAACACTCAAAACCATTGCAGAAACCAATGTGGAAATTCGGACAAGGAAATGTATTGGGGGAGGGCATTAGGGAATTTTATTTTTATTTTTTTGAGACAGGATCTCATTGTGTATCCTTGGCTGGCCTGGAACTTGCTATGTAGACCAGGTTATTCTCCAACTCACAAAAGTCCATCTGCTTCTACCTCCTGAGTGTTGGGATTAAAGGTGTGTGCCATCACACCTGGAGGGAACTTTTTGCAATATGCATCTAGATTGTAGCTGTGTTTTCATAAAGATAAATACTTGTCAAACCTCAAGATAATCAATGAAAATGGAGCAATTTATTGCATTAAGTTAAAACATATAATAGAATGTAATTTCTCTTATGTGAAACTGAAGAAAGCAGAAACAGGAGATGCCACTTGTCATTGCTACAACATCCATGGAATGTAACTGGCAACAGCCACTAAAAATGCATTATTCCACCTTGGTCATGATACAAAGGGATTGGAAATAACCTGAGTATCGGAGACTGCTAAAATATTCTCTCTCTCTCTTTCTCTCTGACACACACACACACACACACACACACACACACACACACGCACACTATTATGTAGTCATACAAATGGGAGCTTATGATGGACTGATGTAGGATGATTCTAAAACATATGGAAACATCGATACCATGTTGTACAGAACCATGTAAGGCAGTGGTCATATGTGAGGGAGAAATACTTCTACATACTCTTGTATATTAAACATGCCACTGGAGGCCCTGCAAGAAACTAGTCATGTTAGTTCCCATCTGGAAGGCAACTAGGCACCTGCGAGCAGATAAAAAGGAGAATTTTAAAGCTATACTCTTTTATCATTTGCACTTTTGTGTATATTTGTATAGTGTGTGAGCATGTGTGTTGATATGCACATGGGCACAGATGTGTATGTGTATGTGCACACACGTGTGTGCACATGCAGGTGGAAGCCCAAAGTTGACATTGCATGTTTCCCTTGATCTATCTCCACTTAATTGAGGTGGATCCTCTCAGTTAAACACGTAGCTTAATGGCCAGCTTGTCCTGGGAAGCCTGTCTCTGCCTCCCAAGGAAGACATCACACCTGCTCAACTTCTACATGGATTCTGGGATCTAAAGGCTGGTCCTCATACTTGTACATCAAATTCTTACCTACTGAGCCACCTTCTCGGCCCCCTTTCTAACTTTTTAGCTAGGAAAAGTTGTGTGTGTGTGTGTGTGTGTGTGTGTGAATGTGCATTTCTTTTTTGTCCCACTTAGACCTAAGCCAAGCTGTGTTAGCCAGCTGTGAATAAACATCTGAGAAAAACAGCTTGAAGGAGGGGAGATTTATGTTTCCTTGTGTGGCTGGCTCTTTCAGATGTTTTGCTGTGAGGCCGGCCCATTAAACTGTGCCCAAGGCAAGGCAGAATATCAGGGCAGTAGGAGTGGTAGTAGAGGCTGCTCACCCCATGGGGGTCAGGAAGGAGGTGGGGGGGGATGGAGGAGGGAAGGGAGAGTGGAGAGATGGATGTGTGAGGGGCTTACATGCTCTTCAGCACACCCCTGTTGACTTACAATCTTCCAACCAGTCCCCACTTCCTAAGTCTCCACAGTCTCCCCATCAGCCAAGACTAAGTCTGTGAGGGGCCCTGCATAGTCAAACAGTAACATTCCATTAATCCTTTGGGGAAGGGGTCAGCCCTGTGCCTGGTGAAAGGCTCTGGAAGTCGTTTGAATCCCAAATAAGGGCAACTGCGACGCTGATCTTGACCTTGAGTCATTAGTTCCTCCACTTTCCCTTTCCCTTACTTCATTCATTTGTTTTCTACGGTAACCACCTGCTGTTTTCCCCATTAGGAAAGATGGTCCAAACCACGGTGACTGTGAATAGGCTTGAAATGGCCTCTGTGCTCCCCCAGTCCACTCATGTCAACATCCACATCCACCAGAAATCAGCTTGGGAGCAGCTGCTGAAAGCCATGGTTTCCCTGAAGTTTCTCTCCTGCCCTCAGGACACTGGGCCCTCCAAGGCCAACATCCACCATGGGCAGCTGGCTCTAGGGGTGAGAGGCGTGGTTGGTGGATTAATGAGGTGGCACAGAGGGTAGGGACTCTACTCTTTATAGGATGCAAAGGAAAAGCAGATTGACTCCTCAGGGAAGAACACAGAAGCTCCCTCATCCCCTCACATTTGGGAAGAGGTTTTAGACATTTCTCTGCAGGGGGTTGCGTGAAAGGAGTAACCAAGCCCCACTTTGGGGCAGAGAGGGCTGTGTCAGCCAGAGGCTGGGTGACAGGGGAGGAATGTCAAGACTGTGAGTTCAGTTGTTTCCTGGAGTTCATGGGGGCTGGAGGCAGCAGGTACGAGACAATATTAACCAAACCCTCAGAGAGAGCAGGGTGTGAAAGGAAAGGACTTCCATGGCAAAGGAGTGCCAGGAACAAGGGCAGCCAGTACTGGTACAGTCCAGAGTAGAGAGAGGGGTCACAGATGATCAGGAGCCACTTTGCCAAAGCCTTGAGTGACAGGGTGAGGAGTTCCAGCTTCTGTGGGTGAGCTTTGAACTCAGGCTGCCTCTGAGCCAGGAGAAGCCCAGGCAAGGAGCCAGGTTCCTCGCTTGTGTGTTGAGTGTAAGTAATGAGAAGAAACAGGAATCCAGATAGTTTAAATGGGGTCTCCCTAACGGGGTGGGATGGGTTTGGGGGTATAAGCCAGGAACATGATGAGAACCCTGGAAGATGGTGTAGGTGTTGGTGCAATCTAACGGATGAGTCTAAGGCACTGGAAGGACATGCAGGCGGGGTATAGGAATCAGTGACAGCCGGATTTTAGCAAGAAGACACTCCTCAGGTTAGGGCTGTCTGTGGTTTATTGGGGCTTACACTGATTAAGTTGTTGGGGTGGGAATGAACAATGAGGAGCAGGGAAATGCCCCTTTAAATGCCACATTGCTTAATTGCTGCCTGGGATGATTCCTTAAAGGCCAGCCCTCAGCTTGAAAGATTGGGACATGTTCCTCATTATAGGCTATCTGTAAGCCATACTCCTCCCTCCCTTCCTCCCTCCCTCCCTCCCTCCCTCCCTCCCTCCCTCCCTTCCTTTTTTGGTGTTATTGCAAAACTATATATATTTTTAAGTAAGTTAATTACTTATTTTACATCCTGACCACATCCTCCTCTCTGGAGCTCTCCTCCCACTCCTCCCCCACCCCGCCTCCCCATCTACCCCTCCTCCATAACCTCTAGAAAGGTGCAGGCCTCCTATGTTTGGCTGTGGGCTCTGAATCTGCCTCCACCAGTCACTGGATGAAGGCTCTCGGAAGACAACTGTGGTACTCACCAATCTGGGAATGGCCCATTCAGTTTATACAGCCACTGCTGCAGGAGTCTTAGCTGCAGCCCTCTGTGGAGTCTCAAGAAAGTTTCCCTTGCATAAGGCTTCTCCATACAGCCCCACTTTCCAGACGCCAGTTTAAGCTCTGCTTCCCTCTGCGCCCCTACCCAGATCCCTTAGTTCCCATGCCCACCTGCCACAGTCCAGACAGGAGCCCTCGATTTCCTCTTCCCAGGGAGATGTGCGTCCTCCGCCCTCCTTGGGCCCTCCTTGTTATGTGGCCTCTCTGGGTCCGTGGATGATAGCATGGCTATCCTTTACAGTTAATATTTATTTATGAGTGAGTGCACACCATGTTTGTCTTTGTGGGACATCACTCAGGATGATTTTTTGTTCCATCCATTTGCCTTCAAATTTCCTGATGTAATTATTTGTAACAACAGAGTAATACTCCATTGTGTAAATGTATCACCTTTTCTTTATCCATTCTTCAGTCGAGGGGCATCTAGGTTGTTCCAGGTTCTGGCTATTACATATAAAGCTGTTATGAACACAGCTGAGCAAGTGTCCTTGTGGTGTGATTGAGTATCTTTTGGTTATATGCCCAAGAGTGGTATCATGGGATCTGGAGGTGGATGGGTTCCCAATTTTCTGAGATAATGCCATATTGATATTTCCAAAGTGGCTGTACAACTTTAAACTTCCACCAGCAATGGAGGAGTGTTCTCTTTGCTCTTCATCCTCTCCAGTATAAGTTGTCATTTGTGCTTTTGATATGACAGTTTTAAGATAGTACCTTAGAGTCTTTTTGATCTGCATTTCCTCTGTGACTAAGGATGATAAAGTGTTTCTCTGCCATTTGAGTTGGATTATTTGGTGTTTTGATGCCTAGTTTCTTGACTTCTTTATTTATTTTAGAGATCAGCCCTCTGTTGAATGTGGGGTTGGTGAAGATCTTTTCCCATTCTGTAGGACCTCATGAAACTGAAAGCTTCTACAGAGGTCCTATTTATTACTTGTCTATCTTAGTGTCTGTGGTGCTGGTGTCCTATTCAGAAAGTTATTTCCCATGCCAATGTGTTCAAAGCTGTTCTCTACTTTCTTTTCTAATCAGGTTCAGTGTAACTGGGTTTATGTTGAGGCCTTTGAGTCACTTGGACTTGAGTTTTGTGCAGGGTGATAGATACTGATATTTTGGATTCTCAGTTACGCCAGCACCATTTGTTGAAGATGCTTTCTTTTCTCCATTGTATAGTTTTAGCTTCTTTGTCAAAACTCAGATGTCCATAGGAGTGTGAATTCATGTCTGGGTCTTTGATTTGATTCCACTCATCCAATTGTTTTTTTAATGTTATTTTTAAATTAATTAATTATTTTTTAATTGAGCTATATATTTTCCCCACTTCCCTTTCCCCATCCCTTCTCCCCTTCTATCCTATCCCCTGCCCCCATGAGATCTTGTCTTTTTCCCCTTCCTAGGATCCATGTATGTCTGTCTCTCTTAGGGTCTTTTTGTTACCTAGGTTCTCTGAGGTTGTGGCCTGCAGGCTGGTTGTCCTTTGCTCTACGTCTAATATCCACTTATGAGTACATATGGTGTTTGTCTTTCTGGGTCTGGGTTACCTCACTCAGGATAGTGTTCTCCAGTTCTGTCCAATTGCCTACAAATTTCAAGGTTTGTTTTGTTTTTAACCACTGAGTAGGATGCAGAGTAAGGGAAACACTCCTCCATTGCTGGTGGGAGTGCAAACTTGTACTTTGGAAATCCGTATGGCAGTTTCTCAGAAGACTGGGAATCAGTCTACCTGAAGACCCAGCAATACCGATAACTTTTGGACACATACCCAAAGGATACACACTCATACCACAAGGACATTTGCCCAACTATGTTCATGGCAGCATTATTTGTAATACCCCTCTACTGAAGAATGGGTAAGGAAAATGTGCCACCTGTCTGTTTCTATTTTAACAACATGCTGTTTTTATTATTATAGCTTTGTAGTGGAGCTCGAGATCAGGGAGGATGATACCTCCTGCAATTCTTTTATTTTACAGGGTAGTTTTAACTATCTTGTGATTTTGTTTTTCCATATGAATTGAGTATTGTTCTTTCAAGGTCTGTAAAAAAATGTGTTTGTATTTTAATAGGGACTGCACTGAATCTATAGATTGCTTTTGGTAAGATGGCCATTTTCACTGTGTTAACCCTACCAATCCATGAGCATGGGAGATATTTTCATCTTCTGATATATTCTCCAATTTCTTTTTTCAGACTTGAAGTTCTTGTAATACAGATCTTTCACTTGCTTGGTTAGAGTTACCCCGAAATATTTTATATTCTTTGTGACTGTTGTGAAGGGTGTTGTTTCACTGATTTCTTTTTCAGCCCTTTTATCACTTGTAAGTAAGAGGGATAATGATTTTTTTTTTTTTTTTTTTTTAGTTAATTTTGTATCCGGCTACTTTGCTAAAGGTGTTTATCAGCTGTAGGAGTTCCCTGGTAGAATTTTGGTGTCATTTATTTAAACTGCCACCTGCAAATAGTGATACTTTGACTTCTTTTCTAGTTTGTGTCCCCTTGATCTCTCTTTGTTGTCTTATTGCTCTAGCAGTAAGTAATATATTGACTAGATATGGAGAGAGTGGACAGCCTTGTCTTGTTTCTGATTTTAGTGGAATTGCCTTGAGTTTCTTTCCATTTAATTTGATGTTAGCTTTCAGCTTTCTGTATATTGTTTTTATTATATTTAGGTATGTTCCTTGTATCCCGGATCTTTCTAAGACTTTTATCATGAAAGTGTGTTGGATTTTGTCAAAGGCCTTTTCAGCATCTAGTGAGAAGATCATGTGGGTTTTTTTTTTTCAGTTTGTTTATATGGTAGATTACATTGATAGATTTTCATAGGTTGAACCATTCCTGCATCTCTGGGAAGAAGCCCATTTGAAATGTCATATTCTGTAGGTCTTTGAAAGGTTTGGAAGACTACCTAACCATTTGAAATATATCTATGTATGTCTAGAAAACTAACAAAACTAAGTTTTGACTTTTATAGGCGACTATAATCTGTACTGAATTATACAGTACATTTTAAAAAGTGCTGTATAAACATAATAATTAATAATACCTAAACAAGAGTAGAAATATACATATAACAAAATTGACCTTAAATTTGTATAAGTCAAAATCCATACCAATGCAAAGTATTCATTTCTATATCATATGTCCCTTTTTTTTCTTTAGAAAAAATTGACTGTGATCATTAACCATTTATAACCAACTCCAATAAACATTTATAAACAATATCTGAGAATTTTGGCATAGTTCTGTCCAAACTGCTTCCTGTTGTTTGGGGGGACTGTTAATCCCAAGGGGATCCTGAGAAAGCCCAGAACCCTGGCCAAATCCTGGCTGTAGCAGTCTGTGAGGCTGCATGGTCTCAGCTATTTTGGATGTTGGATCACCTGGCCACTACTTCAGATGTCTTGCTTGACCAAGCCATATTAGTATGGAAGGAATCCATGGAAATGAAAGCAGAACTTCTTTTCCAAAGTAACATGTCCTTAGACTTAATTTTCTTTTTCTTTCTTTCTTTCTCTTTTTTTTTTTTTTTTTTGTTTTTTTTGGTTTTTCAAGACTGGGTTTCTCTGTATTGCTTTGGAGCTTGTCCTGGAACTAGCTCTGAATAGAAATATTATATATTTCTATCTTTCTCTGGTCACATTTGTTTTTAATCTGTTAAACAGAATGGCTAAGATTAAAGTGGCATCTTACCCCACCCTATTCCTTGGCTTCTTGAGAGTCTAGTTTCACTGGTGGGAGCTATTTTTATTGCCATAACTCTGTGGAGTTTCTAGGTCCATGCCACCCACCACCAAGAAGCATGCTGCCAGCTGCTCATAAACACAATTTAAGCATTTGGTGGAACCATTTAAGTGTTTAAGTCTTTTTCAAAAGAGACTTGCAGTTTTTGCCACTAATACTGAGTCAGGAAGCCTCTCTTAAAGGAGCCATGCCTCTGCCTCTGCTTGCCTCTTGCAAACAGAGCACATCCAAGAAAATGTTGCTACCAAGAGGCCATGCTTGATTCTGTTCTTTTGTGTTCATAATCTCTAGGTTTTACATGGAAATTCTTGCCAAAAGTTTGGGCACCACTTGTGAGTGAAAGTTTCTGTCCTGCAGCTGTTCAGTCTTAAATAAACACACAGAGGCTTATATTAACTATAAACTGTTTGGCCAATGACTCAGGCTTCTTATTTGCTAGCTCTCTCTTAATTATTAACCCATATTGGATATATATATATATATCCAGAGAATGCCCAGACATCCTACCTTTCCAGAAGCTACATGTAGTTTCCTTGACTCTGCCTACTACCTTTCTCTATCCCTGTTTGGATTTCCTTCCTGGCTAAATCCTGCCTGTCCATTGGCCAAAACAGCTTTATTCATCAACCAATATAAGAAACGTATATTCACAGCATATAGAAGGACATCCTCCATCACTATTCAGTTTCATGAATTTGTAGGCTTTCTGTGGTTAGTGGTATTGTTGAACTCAATTTTTGATCTGATAAGATACAAGGGGCTATTCCAACTTTTTTTTGTGTTTGCTAAGACTTGGTTTGTGACCAAGTATGTGTTCAATTTTAGAGAAGGTTCCATGAGGTCGTGAGAAGAAGGTATATTCTTTGGTGTTTGGGTGAAATGTTTTGTAGATGTCTGCTAGGTCCATGTGAGTTATAACATCTCTGTTTAGTTTCTGTCTGCATGACCTGTTCCATTGGTGAGAGTGGGATGTTGAAGTCTCCCACAATTAATATGTGAGGTTCAATATGTGACTTTAGATTTACTAATGTTTCTTTTACAAATGTGGGTCCCTTTATATTCAGGGCAAAGATGTTCAGAATTGAGACATCACTTTGATGGATTTTTTTCCTTTGATAAATATGAAATATCCTCCATCTCTGTAGATTAATTCTAGTTTGAAGATTATATTGTTAGATATTAGGATTGCTACACCAGCTTGCTTCTTTGGTCCATTTGATTGGAAAATCTTTTTCCAACCCTTTACTCTGAGGCAATGTCTGTCTTTGATGTTGAAGTGTGTTTCTTGTATGCAGAAAAAGGGTGGCTTCTGTTTTAGTATTCATTCTGTTAGCCTGTGGGTTGTTCTTTTTTATTGGTGAATTGGGCCCATTGATATTGAGAGATATTAATGACTGATGATTATTTGATAATTTTTTATTTAAATTTGAAACAAGCTTGTTTTACATGTCAATCCCAGTTCCTGCACACTTCTGCCCTCCCTTGTTCCCCCCACCTACCCCTATCTCATCCCCTTTCTGTTCCCCAGGGAGGATGAGGCCTCCAAAGGGGGACCTTCAAAGTCTGTCATATCCCCCATGTGTCTAGACTGAAAGAGTATCCCTCTGTGTGGAACGGGCTCCCAAAGTCTGTTCGTATACTAGGGATAAATACTAATTCACTACTAGAGGCCCCATAGACTGCCCAGTCCTCCCAACTAACCCCACATTCAGGGAATCTGGGTCAGTCCAGTATTGCTTTCCCAGCATTCAGACTGGGGTGCATGAGCTCACCCTTGTTCAGGTCAGCTGTTTCTGTGGGCTTCTCCAGCCTGGTCTTGACCCCTTTACTCATCATCACTCCTCCCTCTCTGCAACTGGATTCCAGGAGTTCTACTCAGTGTTTACTTGTGGGTGTCTGCTTCTGCTTCCATCAGCTACTAGATGAAGGCTCTAGGATGGTATACAAGGTAGTCATCAATCTCATTACGGGGGAAGGGAATTTGAGGTAGCCTCTCCACTTTTGCTCTTACACTGGTGTTTAGGCATCTGAATTTAGGGTAAGAATGAGGCAAAAATGGTAAGAATTGGCATAACGTGATAGTGTTAGGAAAAAGTAAATGAAAGACAGATAGCCTGAGGGGGATGGAGAAAAAAGCAGACCAGTATGATTCAATGGATATTAGAACAGAACCTTCCAGAATCAGAGCTGCAGCGAGGCCAAAGCAGAGGAATTGGTGAAGCCTACATCTGGCTTAGAGCTGTGCAGTTCCCCTTGGGATGTAAAGAACTGCTTTGTTTGTTTTTGATTTTTCCCCTCCTGTCTGGCAGGTGACCCAGGTATTGCTGGGGCTTGTGAGCTATGTTCTTGGAGTGTGTGTCTACTTAGGGCCCTGGACTGAACTGTGTTCCTCTGGCTGTGCCTTCTGGTCAGGGTCTGTGGTAAGTAAGGAGACAAACAGGAAATGGTTGCCTTAGGACTGGAAAAACCCTTCTGATGCCTAGCTTTCTGTTTTTGTTCAAGGGCAGGACACTGGTGACAAGTGTCTACCCATGTGCTGCCTTCTTGTTGGCTTGTTTGTCTTTTGAACCCTGCTTTAGTTGGGCTGTTGTGGGAGCTGTTGGTGGAAGGGTGATGGGAAACCTAGCCAGGAGAATAAACTAGAGGTATTTTTTTTCCTGGTGTCCTCTCTTTCCAGGCGATTGTAGCTGGAGCTGCCACCATTGTTCATGAGAAACGACAGGGAAAACTGTCTGTGAGTCTCTGGATTCCTCTTTATCAACCTTGTCTTTCTACACCCTCCCAAATGGCTAGCATTTCAGCACTATTCTACGGATTATCCTTTAGTTACCAGTTTCCTGGAGGGTTGGGAGGGACTTCCTGCCCTAGCAGCAGGTGGGAGATGAGCAGGTTCCAGGCTGTGGTTCGTGACTCTGCCACTGACTGCAGCATCTGCATCGGGACCTTTCTCTTCCAGGGCCACATATCTCTTCTGCTCATCCTGGCTTGCATTGCTACAGCTGTGGTTGCTACTGTTCTGGGTGTGAGCAGCTTAATCTGGCAAACGAGCGATTTCTACCATGTCAAGATCAGTTCCACGTGTGACTCCTTACAGTCTGGCGTGGGCAGTGAGTATGGGATAAGTGACTCACCCTGGAAGACGGAAAGGTGCAGAGAGTACCTGAACATGATGATGGTGAGAATGCAAGTGGCTTTCCTGGGACATGTTACAGCCCTGGCTTTTAGGGGTTAGAGCCCCTGGGGGACAGGGAGGAAGGCTCTGCGAACTTGGCCCTCACCCTAGGCCTTTGGTTAAGTTGTTGTCATTCAAGCTGGAGGCATTTTCAGACCTCCATACATGAAGATCCCCTGACTCAAAGTTGGTGGGGGAACAGACAGTAGGTCACTCCCCTGACTTTTCTAATGAATGGCCATTGTGGTTATCTACTTATTGATGCATAAGAAATCGCCCCAGAACATGGTGGCTTTAAACACCACTTTATTCATAGTTCTCACAGTTCTCTGGCTGGGTCAGACAGACAGCTCACACTTGGGTTTTCCTATGCAGCCGAAGGCAGAAACAGTGGGTGTGGTCGTTTAAGGGCTCACTGGGGCCGGGCATCCACACAGAGGCACTAACGTAGTAGGTAGGTGATGTGACTGTTGGCTGGGAGCTCAGCTGGGATGTTAGCCAGAGAACCCATAGCAGCTTCTTCACGTGCTTCTGGCTTCTCAGTACAGCAGTAAGTTCCCAGGTGGGGAGTTAAGGTTGTCAAGAGACAGAATAGAAACTCAGGATCGGTGAAGGGCTGCCCATTATTGGCATGATGTCATTTTCACCAGTCAAGCAAGTGGGTTAGAAATGGTGGCCACCCCCTCACTAGAAGACACCATCAGCCTTGGTGAGAAGTATGGCTAGACAGGGTCTGGACTGAATGTAGCTGTGGTAAGGGGATGATATGATTCAGAGGAGCTGACTCCTGCTGGGTTGGCTCTCTTTTGCCTCTAGAACCTGTTCCTAGCAATTTGCATCATGCTCACCGTTGTCTGTATCCTGAAGATTGTCGTGTCTTTGGTTTCCCTGGGACTGAGTCTCCGAAGTATGTGTGACCGGAGCTCCCAGGCCCTGGTGAGTACTCAGGAAGGGACTTGCTGGGCATCAGGGGTCTGGGCAATGAAAACGGGGACAAGCACCTGACCTAGGAAGTAACTGGTCCTCTCTCATCCTTCACTGTGTGGAGACTCTCACCCCATCGTATGTCCTATACGACTTATGCTACCTTGTGCTTCTCCATGCTATCATTTCCCACTCCGTCCAAGTTCATGTTTCACTCCCCCTACTCTGCTTCCTTGTCCGTCTTGCTGCATGTGCACTTCCTGTTGTCATTCCCTGCCTCTCATTTCCTCTGCTGGTTTCAAACGCTGAAGCCAACCTCATGCCCTTCTCCATCCATCCACGGTGCTAAACTCCATGCTCCATCATCATGCTTTTCTTCCATTCAGTGATTTCTTCCTATTTTATTTTCAGGATAAGGAAGAGACAGAGAAAAAGCTTCTTGGGGGAGATTCAACACCTCCCTCCCCAACCAAGGAGATTCCTGGTATCCTATGAATTGCTACAAAGACTCTGCCTGAGCCCGCATGTGTCCCTGCACAGAGCAATCCTGTTCACAGGGCCTCTGCTGGTCCTACAGTACACACCTAGTTCTGATGTAGCCACTATCCAGCTCTTTCTCTTCCCCTCCCCCACGGTCCTCACTCCAATGTCCTTTGTTTCATAAACAGATACTGTGTCATTTCCCCAATGCTAATTAAGCAGAAACAACCAGAAAAAAGAAACCTTCTTGAAGAGAGGTGTGGGCTCTCTGTTGCTACTGATGGTGTGCTGGGAAAGGCATACCTCGAGCTGGTGTGTATGGAGACAGAAGGGTGACCATGGAGGATGGTTGCGGTTGGGTTGCATATCTCTGATGTCACACTCTACTTCAGGATTTGCCTCCATTCTACTACATAAAGTGAACACAACTCAGGGGTTTAGAATCTTCTCGGCCATTGCTTAGTCTTATTTCCTATGCTGTGATGAATGCTCTGGCAAAAAACAGCTTATGGGAGAAAGGTTTTATCTTACTGTGTTGTGATCATCAGGGCGGTTCACAGCAGCAGGAGCCCAACGCAGCAGGCCACACCACAGCCACACTCAGATGCAGAGGGGTACATGCAGACACACTGGTGCTTGGCTCATTTCCCCACTCTACCTAGGAAATGGTGGCTCCTGGAGTGGGTGGGGCTTACTCCCTCAATGAACATAATCAAAGTGATCCCCCACATCTATGCTCAGAAGCCCATTTTTCAGGCGATTGTAGTCAAGTTGATTCTCCCAGAACCCAGCCCACTGCATGTTCAGGGGTCATCTGTAAGTTCAGGTGTCAGGGAACTAAGGACATTTTAATTTCTTTAAAAGATGCGGCATCAAGCCTACACCACAAAGAGTATGGTGTACCAGGCAAGAAAGTAATGTGAAGTGTTTGCTGAGTATCTGTCAGAGATGAGGACCAAAAGGAACGTTATGAAGATGACACTCAAGGGAGAGGCTCTGAGATTGCTATTGGCGCTTGGCTAGCTGGGGCAGGCTCTGAGATCGCTATTGGCGCTTGGCTAGCTGGGGCAGGCTCTGAGATTGCTATTGGTGCTTGGCTAGCTGGGGCATGCAAAGTGATCAGCACCCCCTGCCTCAGTGTGCACTGGCACATTTGGTGGCGCCCAGTGACCTGTCATCAGCCCGATCTCAAGAAATGATGGCTTAGTTGGGCAGAGGGGCTTCTTAGTCGTCACTCATTGTGCCCTGGATTCCACTTGCCAAGACCCCAGGCCACGGTCTAGGAGGGGCAGTCAGTCCTTGGGGCCTGAAAACACTGGAGGCGAAGAGAGGGCAGCATTTCACCAACTTCTGGCATAGAGTCAGACGTCATAGGATTATGGATTATGATGACTAAGTTCCCCTCAAAATCTATGTTTTGAATGTATAATCCCCAGTGGCTCAGAATGTGACCACATTCAGAGATAATCTTTTCGTATAAGTCAGGTAGAAATGGGGCCATCAGGGTGGGTACAACCCCATCATGACTGGTGTCTTTATAGGAAGAGAGCGTTGTGAAGATACAGAGGTAAAGGCGGCCGTTTGTGAGCCAAGAAGCCTTAAGAGAGAACTGTCAGTACCTTAATCTCAGGCATGTTTTCATCAAGGGCTTAGCTACATTGACAAAAAGAGGAAATGGAGTGCTTGGGGAAAAGGAACTGGTAATGTCTCAGTCAGCAAGCCTGTCTGTCCTGTGGCACTCACTGTTCCTGGGGAGACAAGCAGGTCTAATCACCACAGATAGGGAAGTAGCACAGACCAAAATAAGAATAGCAGCAAAGTTCAACCTGATGAACCAAGGAGTTTGCTGAGGTTACTTACAGGAGTGTGGGTGAGGGGATGCTTACAGGAGCACAATGGTCATCTAAAATCACCCAAGCATGAGTGCCAACTTACTTGTGAGACCCAGGGCTCTGTAGTTCTCTACATGATGTACAAGCAACTTGATGGGTTGCAGAATCTTCTCTAAGTAGTTTGTCTGATCCAAGCCTCCTTAGCAATCCTCCCTGCTTATATAATCTTAGGCAGAGTGGGGGCTTGTATGTTTTTGGAACCCCCTGATACTTTTGAGTTGCTTATTTCCCTGTTTTTAGCAAGCCTCCCTTTAGGACATTTTGGGTCTCAATGAGCTACCATCCAGAATGAGATGCTCCAGTTCAGAGAAATTTGCTCTGTAACTGTAATGACACTGTCACCCTGAAGGGGCCGCTGGGTTTCCTATCCTTCTGAGCATCCTCTCTCCTCTGGAGCAGGGCCTTGCCTCCTGCCCACCACCTGAGACACTGCCATTTTTATTTCCACTTACAGTAGGTGCCTCTTGTGCACCACAGGACAGCTCAATCGGAGTGTGCAGTTTGACATACGTGCTACCTGGGGGTGGTTCTGGACATGATGAAGCAGAGGAGGGTGAAACTCCAGTCAGGGAGGGTAAAGACTTAGTAGAAACCACACCTTGCCCTCTGCAATCATGAAGCTGTTAGGGGAAAGAGATATGGTGCACTGTGGGGTTACACTCCAGGATGCCATGATGGATGGCTAGCACATTAAAGATGTGAAGAAATCTGGAGAGTCACAGAAAGGAAGGTGAGGCAAATTACCCTTCAAAGGAGCTTGCTTAGGGGAATCATGGGGTTATAGCCACAGACAGCCATGATGAGGCCTTCAAGTAGGAGGGCATTAGGAGAGATAGCTGCCTCATATGGCATGAGGGGGACCCTGAGGGAAAATGACCTCCAACTTCCTTCAGTTTCAGGTATTAGGAGGCTTACAGCACCATCCCATAATTGCATGAAGGGACCCCAAAGGAAGAGACAGACCTTTCAGTTCCACAGGACAAAGGGAGCTTCTTGCACTTAGAGGTTTTCAGGTGTGGGGGTAGTTCCATACCACATGACCTAGCCTCTATGCCAGGAGTCATAAGGTAGGAAGGTTGTACATATAATCCAAGGTTGTCTTTGGTCTGAGCACACCTGAGATTGCTCTCAGTGGTACAGGGGAGGGAGAAGACTCAACTATTTGGAAGAATGCCAAGGTCATGGCCGCTCTCTGTAGTTGGCAGGGGTGGGGAATTGATTGCAGGTGGTATGGTTTGATTTTTAGCTAGAGGATGTGTAACCTAACAGTATATAGATATCATATAGATGGCCTTATGGAAGGAATTCAGATATGGAACAGGGCCACTTAAATTCTGTATCTTGTTTGACTCCTTTTTGTTGTCTTTAAAACTTTTTCTCTGTGCGTACATGAACGCACGAGTAAAGGCACCTAGAGAGGTAAGAAGACGGCATCAGATTCCCCGAGACTGGAGTGCCAGGCACTTGTGAGCTGCCATGTGGATGCTGGGAACCTTTGAGCCATCTCTGCAGCCCGCTTTAATGTTTTGTTTGTTTTTGTTTTATGAGACAGAATTTATCTGTAGCTTTGGAGCCTATACTGTCATTCTCTCTGTAGATCAAGCTGGCCTCAAACTCACAGAGATCCACCGGCTTCTGCCTTCTTAGTGCTGGGATTAAAGGTGTGAACCATTGCTGCCCTTCAGCATAGGATTTTAGAACAGAGTCCCAGGTTGAAAAAACACAGCAAACGGAGTCAACGGCAAAGTCAACGGAGTCATTATTTCCTTCCTTGCCCCCCAGTGGTACTAATTTGTGTCTCAGTATTTTTACCCCAGTCTTATGTAGACAGATCAGATAAAGCCTCTTGGATTTTCCATTATGGAAAGCAAATGTCAGCATGTTTAGTTTTTGTTTTAGTGGTCTGTTCAGACTTTGGCAACTCCTTTCCCCACCTGGAAGGGAGCCTGGCTTTCTTTCTCTGGCCCCTCCTCCCTCATGCTCTCTGCTCTAGTCTCACAGTAGACCCCACCACACCCCATAAAGAGCCTAGAAGCAGCTTTGGATAAGTTTTTCTTTTCTGTAGACTATCAGATGTCACCACCCCTCCCCTACTTTTTGTTTAGTTGGGAAAACCAACATCCATCTCTCTTCACCTAGTTCTGCCTTGTTGGTAAAACTGTATACAAATGCAGATGACGTCAGGTTCCTGAGGGAGTCCTGAAAATTATCTCCAGCCTGTTTGTATATAATGTTTCTAATCTAAACCCACAGGCATAAACAACGGAGGGTTCATCCTTCTCTTTCTTGACCTCCTATCTCCCCCATCACCAATGTTTTTCCCTCCGTGTTATTGGCTCTTGGGTCCTCTAATGTCAGGATCAGATTCGAGCTTGCACACATTGGCTATTAAAGGGAGTGCTGGTTGGTGTTTTTGTTAACTTGACACAAATCATGGTCATTTGGGAAGAGGGATCCTCAATTGAGAAAATGCTTCCTTCCATCAGAGGGCCTGTAGGCAAATCTATGGAGAACTTTAATTAATGCTTGATGCAGGAGGGCCCTGCCTACTGGTGGCTGTGCCACCCACGGGCAGGTGGTCATGTGCTGTATAAGAAAATGGCCTGAGCAAGCTATGGGGGGCAAGCCAGTAAGCGGCACCCCGCTGTGGTGTCTGTTTTATTTCTTGCTTTTAGGTCTTTCCCACGAGTTCTTGCCTCGATTTCCCTTTATGATAGATTGTAGGCTTTAAGATAAAATAAACTCTTTCTTCCCCAAGTTCCATTGTGTTTACCACAGCAATAGAAAGCAAACTAAAATAAAGGGAGTTCCACCTGGTTTCTAGGCCATTCTCTATTCATTGAAAACAACTACAAAACAAAGTGCACTCCTCAGAGCTTGGGTCTCTGAGCCCCCAGCCCTCCAGGTCACTTAGGCTGGAGGGCTGGGGTGGGAGGGAGGGTTCCTTCCTACTGCTGGGAGGTGAGGGGCAGGGTGTTTGTTTTTAGTTTGTTCTTTAATCTGGCCTCAGAAGGAAGGCTGGAGAATGGCGTGAGCAGATAAGGGACAGGATTTATTGACTCAGCCTAAATCCAACCAATGTTTTTGGCTTTTGTTTATATTCAGTGGGTGATGGGCTCATATATTATTATTGCTTAGTCTGGGAAGTATTTAGAAATTTTCCTGTCCTCTACTGCATTAGCTCTCTGGGTTTTTCTGACTGCCTGGAAAGGAACATTTAAAGGAGAGAAATCTGACCTGAAGGGAGGAAGTCACTCTGGTGGCAAGATTTTTTTTTTAAGAAATGTATTTATTTAATCACTTATTTATTTAGTTATTTATTTTACCTCTGACTGCAGTTTCCCTTCCCTGCTCTCCACCTAGTCCCGC